CAGTTATTCTGCAATGATATCAGTTGAGTAAGTAACGAATGTATTTTCTGTGTGATTATAATATTGCCCTTCTGAATTGCTTCTAGATCGGATATGAAGTCGTTGTACGGTATATTATAATTTCTTCTGCTTGATGCAGGGATGGTTGGTTAAGGCATACATCAAGAGCTTTCCAGATAGCTGTCAGTTCACAAGTGAAGTTTGACGAAATCTTTCTTGCTCCTTCTTTGATTTTGATGTATGTTCCATCTTGCAGTATTATGTTAATTCCAGCCCCTGCATTACTTATGGTAAGGTCTGATGATCCATCTGTATATGCTGTTAAATAATTCATCTGATCGCATAAACCAATTGTGTCAAGTCCTTTCTTTTTAAGTATGTTTTTGTTCTCTTTTTCTTATTGCAGGGTTCATTCAGGTTAAGAATAATGATTACATTTGATGGCAATGGGGTAGGAAATATTGGTTATTCTCGAATTTGAAATTCATTATGTTTCATATTTATGCTCTTTCTAATATTGTTGTCGTACTGAAGTGTTGAAGATCTTTTGAGCCTTTCTTTTTGTGTCCAGTTTAAATAGGTTCTATGGGATATGTGTTCGGTTTCTTTAGTTTTTAAGCTATTGGTGAATTTTATTGTTTTTAATTGTATTCTGCTTTCAATTAGGTCTAGACCACATTCTCTATGAATTTTCTAATTGTTGGTATTTGAAACAGAACCAGTGAATAATTTGGCCGCTTTTGCTTGAACACTGTCTAGTCTTCTTTTTAGTGATGAACTTGAGGGAGCCCAAACAGGTGTTGCATATTCCAATATTGGCCTTATTAAGGTGATATATGTTGTTCTGAGAAATTTGTTCCACATAGCCTTCTCAGAATGTTTAGGTTTCTGGTAGCTCTATTTGAGGTACTAATTATGTGTTCTGTAAATCGCAATTCCTCATCAAGTATCACACCTAGGTAATTTGGAGATCAAATTTTATCAATTATATGGTTGATTATGCTTATTTTGGAGTTAAATTTATGCCTTTTTTCCTGTCAGTGAAGGAAACCTATAGGTTTGTGTTTATCGGGTTTATTGTCATTTTGAGTTTCATTGCCCACTTCTCCAGTCCTCTCATTTATATGTTCAGTATCTTTTCTGATATTTCTATACTGCTACTTGTGTGCCATATGGCTATATAATCTGCATAACAGGCAACTTTTGTATCTTCAGTGAGGATGGATGTTGTTAAGATTGTGTCGTAATTAGACGTACAACAACTCAAACTTGACCATGACTCTTTTTTTTAGCTCTTATTCTTTTCGTTTGGCCAACAAAAAATGTCCAATTTATATACACATATATACTTACATAATGAGACTTTAAAGAATGCAAATAATCTTCATCTATTTACATACACAAAACATCTCCCCCCTTAATAATACTCCAGTCGGTCTGGGGGTTTTCTGGGTCTCTGAGGTCTAGGACTGCGGACGGGCACTTGCACAGCGGCAGGCTCCGGTTTAGGAGTGCAAGAGGGCACGTGCACAGCAACAGGCCCTGGTCTAGGAGTGCAAGAGGGTACGTGCACAGAAGCAGTCTCCTCCTTGTTTCCTGATGTAACCTATGGAACCTCCTCTTCACTTTATTTCTGACTTCCACCAACAGGCTTCTCTCCTGATGTTCGAGGAAGTATCAAATTTCTTGTCTCCACTTGTTTCTTTCTCACAGGTCGCAATTGATTGATATGCCTCTTATAAGGTAGTAACGGTAGCTCAATAATTTCAAAATGGTACCTTTTTACCGTTCAGGTCCAGTTGCATAGTTGCGGAAAAAAACCTCGCAACCTGTAGTAAACTGCTCCTGCCTTCTAAAAGACTCATGAAATACCTCTCGCGGCTTTCCCATTTTGATATTAAATTCGAGAATATTGATCTTAAACTTCTATACATTAGCAGTTCCGCGGGGGAATTCCTTTATTACAGTTTGGGGGAATGCTCTATGAGCAAATAGGAATCTTTGTAGATTCGTCTCAAAATCATCCTTCCCATTATTCTTTCTTAAAAGGTTTTAAAACTCTCTTACATATCTCTCAGCTAAACCATTTGTACTAGTAGTATACGGACTGGTATTAGTGTGCCGTATACCATTCATTTTGGTAAATTGCTCGAATTCACCGGAGACAAACTGTCTTCTGTTATCTGTAACCAAAAATTAGGGCAATCCAAATCTGGCAAAAATTTCTCTAAGATGATTTATAATCGTTTTGCTGGTAATATCTTTGATGATAAAAATTTATATCCACTTTGAGTATGCGTCCACGAGAACCAAAAACATTCTTCCCATGAACGGACCCGTTAGATCAAGATGAAGTCGATGCCACGGTTTTTCGGGCCAAGTCCATTCCGAGATGGTAGCCGGGGGCATGATTGCCGATTCCTGGCGTACTCTACATACTCTAGTTAACTCCTCGATGTTACTGTCTATGCCTGGCCACCAGAAAATACCGTCTGGCAATCATCTTCATTTTAACAATCCCCATGTGTATTTCATGCAAGTCATTTAAAATTATAGATCTTAATTTTTGGAGAATTACCACTCTTTCACGCCATTGAAGACACCCAAACTCCAGACTTAATTCCTCATTGATCTTATAATGAGGAGCTAGTGGGTTTTCTCTCAGTACCCTTGTAAATTTCCACACACACACACACAGTTGCCTTCTCTAACATTCCTCAATACTATAGACAGTATTTTATCTTGGGGCGTCTCATATGCCACCTCCATAAAAGAGAACGGTACCTCATTCAACTTCCTGAGAAGAAGTACCTGGTCTTCATCAACAGACTCCCTGACACTCGATTTTAAAGGAAGATGTGACAATGCGTCAACATTGGAATTATCACTAGTATTTCGAAATTCCACAGTATAATTAAATGCAGCTAATTTTAAGGACCATCTTTTAATTCTGGATGATGCACATATGGGAATTGGTTTATGAGGTGAAAATATATGAATTAAGGGTCGATTTTCTGTGACCAATAAAAATTTTCGTCCCAGTAAGAATTGTCTGGTTTTCTCAACGCCAAAAGATATGCTCAACGCTTTCTTTTCTAGTTGAGAGAAACGTTTTTCCGCTTCAGTTAATGTTCTAGAAGCAAAATCTATAGAGCATTCTTCCTTTCTATCATTTCTATGATTCAGAATTACGCCTAGTCCATAGTCCATTAATAATGATTTACATTTTTAAAATTACATTCGATATTCTTTCGTCCAATTCCATCTACAAGTTTTATTCAAAAGTTGATAGAATAGCGCTAAAATTTTTGCTATATTCTTTATGAATCTATAATAATAAATTAAGAGTCCTATGAAATATCTTAATTGCGAAACATTCTTTAGCTTCAGGCGCCTCTATCACTGCTTTAATTTTATTTTCTGAGGGATGCAGTCCATATTTATCCATTTTAAACCCTAAATATTCCACCGATTTATTTTAAATTTACATTTATATCTGTTTAACTTTATACCTTTTTCTAGAAATCATCTAAACACTAGATCCAACTTTTGTTCATGATCTTCAAAGTCGTTTCCTGCAACCAAAATAGTATCTATGTAGCAGGCCACACCTGGAAAATCAGCAAATGGACCTTCCATAATCCCCTGAAATTTATTTGGTGCTACCGCTACGTCATATGGTAGTCTTTTATAAGTAAACAACCTCTTTGTTGTGGTTATATCAACAACAGCTTTGCTTCTTCCGCTATCATTACTTGTAAGTAAGCCTGTGATAGGTCTAGAGTCGAAAGTACGGTGCTTGTAGATAATTTTGAGAAGATCTCATCGATCGATGAAAGGGGATACCTATCTAATTCTATTGCTTTATTAGCTGTACATCTAAAATCTCCAAATATACTTACATTTAAAATACAATATAACGCGGCTGATGATTGTAAAACGAAAATTGCAATTATACCGCGAATGTTTCTTTTAAACAAAAATCGAAATCTATTTTTTTAAAGAGAAATAACGATTATTTCTAATTTTAAGGATGAAGTATGATAGGATGAATTGTGAAGAGTAATGACAAACGGAAAAATAAAAGTGTCCAGGGGCGGGAATCGAACCCACAACCTTCTGCTTACCGGGCAGGTGCCATGTCCACTAGGCTACCCTGGACGTATTTTTCCGTTCGTAAATAATATTTAAAGTAACTTATAATACATTTCAAATACAATATAACGCGGCTGATGATTGTAAAACGAAAATTGCAATTATACCGCGAATGTTTCTTTTAAACAAAAATCGAAATCTATTTTTTTAAAGAGAAATAACGATTATTTCTAACTTTAAGGATGAAGTATGATAGGATGAATTGTGAAGAGTAATGACAAACGGAAAAATAAAAGTGTCCAGGGGCGGGAATCGAACCCACAACCTTCTGCTTACCGGGCAGGTGCCATGTCCACTAGGCTACCCTGGACGTATTTTTCCGTTCGTAAATAATATTTAAAGTAACTTATAATACATTTAAAATACAATATAACGCGGCTGATGATTGTAAAACGAAAATTGCAATTATACCGCGAATGTTTCTTTTAAACAAAAATCGAAATCTATATTTTTAAAGAGAAATAACGATTATTTCTAACTTTAAGGATGAAGTATGATAGGATGAATTGTGAAGAGTAATGACAAACGGAAAAATAAAAGTGTCCAGGGGCGGGAATCGAACCCACAACCTTCTGCTTACCGGGCAGGTGCCATGTCCACTAGGCTACCCTGGACCTATTTTTCCGTTCGTAAATAATATTTAAAGTAACTTAAAATACATTTAAAATACAATATAACGCGGCTGATGATTGTAAAACGAAAATTGCAATTATACCGCGAATGTTTCTTTTAAACAAAAATCGAAATCTATTTTTTTAAAGAGAAATAACGATTATTTCTAACTTTAAGGATGAAGTATGATAGGATGAATTGTGAAGAGTAATGACAAACGGAAAAATAAAAGTGTTGAGGGGCGGGAATCGAACCCACAACCTTCTGCTTACCGGGCAGGTGCCATGTCCACTAGGCTACCCTGGACGTATTTTAATACTGGTACTATTGGAGCGGTCCAATATGCATGAACTATAGGTTATAAAATGCAAGAATTCACTAAACTATCAATTTAATTCTCTACTTTGTTTTTTAGAGAGAAAGGTAAACTTCTGGCTTTACAAAACACAGGAGTCACATCCTTTTTTAAATTGAAATTTATTTTAACATCCTTTAGACAGCCCAAATCTTTGTTAAACAAATCTGCATATCTACCAATCAAACTATTTCTATTAGATTCAATATTTAAATTTTTAATGCTAAACAATCTAGAATACTCAAGTTTTAACTGTTTAAGCCATTTTCTTTCTAAACAAATCACCTGGATTTTTAATTTACAACTATTAATCGTAAATATTGGTTGGCTTCTTTTACAAAAACATTTCTTTGCCCTATAACCTCTATTGATTTACCACAAAAAGATTTTAATCTTAAATTTGTTGGAAATAATTTTTTACCTTGCCAGTATATCTTATAAATATCTTTAAGTATTAACGTAACTGGACTTCCTGTATCTATTGTAAAGCACAAAGAATAATCATCTACTGTTAAATATATTGTGGCATCAGTTTCGCCCTGTACAGAATATATAGAGTCCTCTCGTACAAATTTACATCCCCACATTTTTTACTAGCTTTGCAGACCCTACTTAAATGACCCAGTTTTTTACATTTTAAAACAAGTCTTCGTTCTATGAGGCCAAACAGAGGCCACGTGTGAATGTCTTTCACCACATCTATAACACATTATTTCTCCCCTTTGCCTGAAAGGCCAATGCTGCACCATACTATTATTGCACTCACCCTTTTTATTTTTCCATTCACAGGGGCCATCTTTGCCACTAATTTATCTTGTAATTATCTTGTATTTATCTCCGCCAGTTCGAACGAGATCGCCACTGCAAAACTTTATCCAGGGTGACATCGTTGTTTTCTTGTAGTAGCTTCTTTTACAGGCTTTCCAAATTGATTACAGCCACAAAACGGTCTCGCATCATGGTTCACAGCATATCGCCGAAATTACAATTTATTGCTAAATGTTTCAATTCTCTAAGATATTCCGAAATTGATTCTCCTTCCTGTTGAATTCTATTTAAAAATCTGCATCGCTGTGTAATCACTTTCTTCTTTGGATCCAAATGCAGCTTAATTCTTTGAATGATAGTATCATAGGGTTGATCTTTCATTAGACCAGGAAGAAAATGTCGTTTCCCTGCTTCAAAGTTTCAGAATCTGGTAGCGAGGTAAAAATCAGCACTTTAATCTTCTCCTTCAGATGCCAAAAAGAACGCCCCAAATTTTTGTACAAAAAGATCGAAGTGTCCACCACTGGGCTATAGCACTAAAAGGTACTATTAACTTTGAACTTGTCATGCTGATCTTTTCTACTCCTTTGTTTTCTTGATCCAGATAGTTTAAAAGACGCTTTTCAGCGTTTTACTGGCTCTGTGGATCGCGCATCCTCGTCGCCACTTTTTTTGTGTCGTAATTAGACGTACAAGAGCTCAAACTTGACCATGGCCAACAACAAATGTCCAATGAAGTTTATTTTATTATTGTTAGTGAGCCAGACTATGAGCTTAGAGTGGATAATTAATTCTGTTATTTTACAATGTATGCTGGTAAGAGCAATTGGCCGATAGTTCTTGCATTTCTTGGCATCTTTGTTTGGTTTCAGTATTGGCACTATAAATGATATCTTCCAATTCTTTGGTAGTTTACCAGTTTGCCATGAAAACTTCAGTTTTCGTATGGGTTGATTTTTAGCTTTGTCTCCAAAGTGTTTAATCATTTGACCAAAGATTAGAGCATCTCCAGGTGACATCTTGGATATAACTTTTCTATTGATGAGTTTAGCTCATTCAGTGTGAAGTCTCTAGAATAAACATCTTGTTGATGGTAATTTCTTGCTTGTTTAACTATCCTGTTTAAATTATTTTTTAGAGTCCTGCCTTCATTCGCATAGCTGAGTCTGGAAATGCTTGAAAGATATTCAGCAATTATGTCAGCCATCTGTTTGTTCGTTCTCGCTATTCATATCGGTTAGAGTATTGGAGGATTAGTGTTGGTTTTGATTGTTTTATAATACTAATTATATTCCAGTGATGGCTTTTCTTTTTTGGATCCAATTTTTTTTTCGCAGAATTCTGCCCATTTTTCTTGTTTGAATATCCAAATTTCTTGTTCTATTTTGTGACTAAATCCAATGAGTTCCTTTATGATTTCTTCTGTTTTATTTGTTTTAAGAAGTTTATTGATATTGTCTCTCTCTGCAATCATTGCCTCGATATTGTGGTCCTTTCAGTAAAGTATTCACAGGTATTTACGTCTACCTCTAGGTATCGATACTTTTGCAGCTTTGGATATGTTTGAAGAGAATTTTTCTAATTTTTTTGTCAATCGTTCTGTGATTTAATTCTTCGTTGCACAGTTCTTCAAGCTTTTCTGTGATTTTTTTCCAGTGTTCTTTTATTCTGTTGGAAATTCTCAATTTTGAATTTTAGGGTTTTTAAAATTAGTCTGTGGTCACTGATTGCACTTTTCAGAATTTTCCATTGTGTTGTGGGTGCGATGTTGTAATTTATCGCTGTGATGTCTATTCCGGATTCTGTTCTTGTGGACTTGGATAGATAGGTGTTCTTTTCGTTATTTAACGGTGTAAGGCCGAGGTCGGTTAGCATGTCCTCAACCTGCTGACCTTTGTTATCCTGGACTGGTGATCCCCAAGTTGGTCTTTCGGCGTTAAAATCACCAAGTATGATTGCGATATCCGAAGACGCTTCACTTGATGTCCCTATCAGGCCTGTATTGATGCTACTATTATCGTGGTGATAAACATTTATGATTGGAATTGTTTTATTTGTAAGATATATTTCTATTGCCTGAGCTTCTGGCGATTTCCTTAAATTTGATTTCTAGAGTTTTAATCAAAACGGCAAGTCCTCCGAATTTTTCCGGTCTGTCCTTTCGTAGTGTTGTATAATCTTTGATATTGAATCTCAGATTCTGATTCAAATTTGTATCCTGAGGACAAGTAATATGTACATTGTTGTCACAGAGAAGACAAGTCAGCTCTTTACTTTCTTCTGGGTACCATTTATATTGAGTTGTAGTATATTGAATTGTGTCCTCGTAGTAGATTTCTCATCATGAGCTCGAGCTGTAGCTCCTGACGCGGCGGTTACCCCGGAAGCGGTAGCATTACTGGAGATATCAGTTTTGCCCTTCATTTGAAAATGGATGCCGTTGCAACGTTAGTCATCTTGGAAACGAACCAGAATTTGGTCAAATACTCCAAGGGTCCAGGAGGAACCGCAAGGAGGTGTGGTCGCACTTCTCCCCTTCCCTCTGGAATGTCGTCACTACAGGATAAAGCACTCTTGGTGAATATTTTAAATTGTGATTCAGAATCTGCCACTGAAGCTTTACGAGCGTTTCGTTCCTTTAAAGATATTCGAAGCGGTAAAGGACCAATGAGTTGCTACTCTCTAAAGCGACTGATTAAAAGTTTTGAGGAAACTGGAATTCTGGAAGCAAAACCTCGGAGTGGAAGGCCATCGACATGCAAGTCAGTGGCTGTTACGGTTTTGAAGAATGCTGAAGCTATTGAAACGTTATCCAGGAATGGAGAAGTAAGTGCTAGACAAGTTTCTCTACAAACGTGGATTTCGTATGGAACAGTTTGGAGAGAACACACATTTGGAATTTTTCTATAAAAATACCCTGACAAAATTCAAAGTTTTCACGAGTTGAAAGCCAGCGATTTTGAGAAGCGTCAAGAATTCTCTGCATGGGTTTTTCGGCAAATTGATGAAAACTTGCTGTCAAATGTTCTAAGAACAGATGATGCTCACTTTTATCTAAAGTGATAATTTAACATTCAAACTGCCTCATTTTGGCAAGAGAAAACACTAGGATTTTTACAGAAATACCACTTCATCAGCACAGAGTTACAGTTTTGTGTGGGTTCACTTCTTCTTTTATTATTGGGCTATTTTTCTTTGAAAAATCAATGGAAGAACTTTTAAAACCGTTTTTGTACCTGGTGAACGTTATGTTCAACTTTTGAGAGAAAAGGTTATTCTCATATTGCAGGACAGACAAGCACTAAGCGAAATAACATTCATGCAAGATGGAGGACCTCCTCATCATATCTCCCGCGGTGCCAAACAATTGCTGAAGGATACGTTCGGTGAAATTCGTTGATAAGCCGCCACATTATATACCAGTGGCCTCCAATATCACCAGACTTGACGCCTTACAATTTCGGTTATGGGGGTACATTGAGTCGCTTTTTTATCGATGCCGGCCTACCACATTGGCCATGTTGAAGGCTTCTATCAGATCACACGTTTTATAAATTTCAAATATTTAATTGTGACCATTATGTCATCTATCGTCTTAAGGCGGTTTTCGAGAAAGAAGGGCGCCACATTGAGCAAGGATTGAGACCTAATACAAGAGAGAAGGCAGTTACCTCATGTGTTATAATTTGAAGCTCTTTGTTTTGATTAATGGGAATAATAAATGCTGTCTTCACATCTTGACTCTTTATTTTCTGTAAACAGTAATTTTTTTTGTTTGTCATTTGCCCACATCTTATATTATGTCGTGCAGGCCAAAGTGTTATAACTTCTCGAATAACACTGGTATACACAATTTTACCCCTTATGTTTAGTTTATCGCTTTTCGCTCATTAGAAGAAATAGCATAAGGAATATTCTCTGTATCCCCCCCCCAACTTTATAAATTTTGCGCAAAAAATTATACAAAATGATTTTACTAGCACGTTTTTCAACGCAAAAAGTCGATTAATTTAGAGGATACATTTTCAAAATTATGTACAGTATAATAAACAATGATAACATTTGACAAACCCATAGGATATTTGGAATAAAGTACGACAAATATATTTTGTCACTCCCCTCTATATTTCATTTTTGGATCATGACAAATATCCAGTTAAATAGTCAAGTGTCGCCAATTAGT